ATTGTGGGAATGTAAACATCTCTGTTTAATTGTGAGTCGAACTGAGACATTATATCCGTCGAAATACATAAACGCAATGTTTCCCCCAGTAATGTTAGCTGAGTGAAGGAACTGCAAACCAAGAAAACGGGTGCTACGGAGTAGTTTACTGTAGGAGGCTGTACGAGGCGATGACAACTGACATGCATCGTGACGTCGGTTACCAAGGGAGCAGACGAGAATGGTGTAGTGACGTCAATATAGTGTGACGTCATACAAAAGTGTACTACAGAACAAAATTCTTCCGCAACCTCTTTACGAAACCGGTTTCGGTTTGAAACCATAACAATAACAAAAATACGCTACTTTGTCAATTTAATGCATGTAAGACGTGGGTAATAAATAAAATACCACACTTGGTCTCATTACATAGGAATTATACGAAACTCGTGACCTTCCTATGGTTTCTGACCTCGCTTTCGCTCGGTCAGATACTATAGGAAGGACACGAGTTTCGTATAATTCCTATGTAATGAGACCAAGTGTAGTATTCTCTATATATTTGCTTGCTGTGGGAATAACGAAGTTAACGAGTTTATGTTTTGGTTAACTTGGAAATCATTGTCTTCAAATATATGCGTAAAGCATGGATGCAATTCCATGTATTAGAACACACGTGCTGTATAAGTTGGAGTCATAGCGGCAGTATTTCACAGGCAGTATTACTTTCCAATAAAGTGATAGAAATACTATGTTTACCCATCTGATGACTAAAAATTGGCCAGGCTCTGATAACAGAAGCAATACAAAGACAGCACATTTCAGATAGTGGCCAGGCTCTCATAACAGAAACAATACAGATGCCATGCCTTTCAGAGAGTGGCCAGGCTCCCTTAACAGAAGCAATATATAGACAATGCCTTTCAGAGAGTGGCCAGTCTCTCATAACAGAAGCAATACAAAGACAGCGCCTTTCAGAGAGTGGCCAGGCTCTCATAACAGAAGCAATACATAGACAATGCCCATGAGGGAGCGGCCAGGCTCTCATAACAGAAGCAATACATAGACATTGCCTTTCAGAGAGTGACCATGCTCTCATAACAGAAGCCCTACATAAACAATGCCTTTGAGAGAGTGGCCAGGCTCTAATAACAGAAGCAATCCATAGACAATGCCTTTCAGAGAGAGGCCAGGCTCTCATAACAGAAGCAATACAAAGACAATGCCTTTCAGAGAGTGGCCATGCTCTCATAACAGAAGCCATACATAGACAATGCCCATGAGGGAGTGGGCAGGCTCTCGTAACAGAAGCAATACATAGACAATGCCTTTGAGAGGGCGGCCAGGCTCTCATAACAGAGACAATACATAGGCAATGCCTTTCAGAGAGTAACCATGCTCTCATAACAGAAGCAATACATAGACAATGCCTTTGAGAGAGTGGCCAGGCTCTCATAACAGAAGCCCTACATAGAAAATGCCTTTCAGAGAGTGGCCAGGCTCTCATAACAGAAGAAATACATAGATGTTGCCTTTGAGAGAGTGGCCAGGCTCTCATAACAGAAGCCCTACATAGACAATGCCTTTCAGAGAGTGGCCAGGTTCTCATAACAGAAGAAATACAAAGTCGATGCCTTTGAGAGAGTGGCCAGGCTCTCATAACAGAAGCAAAACATAGACAATGCCTTTGAGAGAGTGGCCAGGCTCTCATACCAGAAGCAATACATAGCCAATGCCTTTGAGCTGGTGGCCAGGCTCTCATAACAGAAGCAATGCGTAGACAATGCCGTTCAGAGAGTAACCGTGCTCTTATAACAGAAGCAATGCATAGACAATGCCATTGAGAGAGTGGCCAGGCTCTCATAACAGAAGGAATACATAGACAATGCCTTTGAGAGAGTGACCATGCTCTCATAACAGAAGGAATACATAGACAATGCCTTTCAGAGAGTGGCCAGGCTCTCATAAAAGAGGCAATACATAGGCAATGCCTTTCAGAGAGTGACCATGCTCTCATAACAGAAGCCCCACATAGACAATGCCTTTCAGAGTGTGGCCAGGTTCTCATAACAGAAGAAATACAAAGTCGATGCCTTTGAGAGAGTGGCCAGGCTCTCATAACAGAAGCAATACATAGACAATGCCTTTGAGAGAGCGGCCAGGCTCTCATAACAGAAGCAATACAAAGACAATGCCGTTCAGAAAGTGACCATGCTCTCATAACAGAAGCAATGCATAGACAATGCCTTTAAGAGATAGGCCATGCTCTCATAACAGAAGCAATGCATAGACAATGCCTTTGAGAGAGTGACCATGCTCTCATAACAGAAGGCCTACATAAACAATGCCTTTGAGAGAGTGGCCAGGCTCTCATACCAGAAGCAATACATAGCCAATGCCTTTGAGCTGGTGGCCAGGCTGTCATAACAGAAGCAATGCGTAGACAATGCCGTTCAGAGATTGGCCATGCTCTCATAACAGAAGCAATGCATAGACAATGCCTTTGAGAGAGTGGCCATGCTCTCATAACAGAAAGGAATACATAGACAATGTCTTTCAGAGAGTGACCATGCTCTCATAACAGAAGGCCTACATATACAATGCCGTTCAGAGAGTGGCCAGGCTCTCATAACAGAAGCAATACGTACAAAATGCCTTTCAGAGAGTGACCATGCTGTCATAACAGAAGCAATGCATAGACAATGCCTTTGAGTGAGCGGCCAGGCTCTGATAACAGAAGCAATACATAGACAATGCCTTTCAGAGAGTGACCAGGCTCTCATAACAGAAGGAACACATAGACAATGCCTTTCAGAGAGAGGCCAGGCTCTCATAACAAAAGCAATATATAGACAATGCCTTTGAGAGAGTGGCCAGGCTCTCATAACAGAAGCAACACATAGACGATGCCTTTCAGAGAGTGGCCAGGCTCTCATAACAGAAGCAATACATAGACAATGCCTTTGAGAGAGTGGCCAGGCTCTCATAACAGAAGCAATACATAGACAATGCCTTTCAGAGAGTAGCCAGGCTCTCATAACAGAAGCAATACATAGACAATGCCTTTCAGAGAGTGGCCAGGCTCTCATAACAGAAGAAATACATAGATGTTGCCTTTGAGAGAGTGACCATGCTCTCATAACAGAAGCCCCACATAGACAATGCCTTTCAGAGTGTGGCCAGGTTCTCATAACAGAAGAAATACAAAGTCGATGCCTTTGAGAGAGTGGCCAGGCTCTCATAACAGAAGCAATACATAGACAATGCCTTTGAGAGAGCGGCCAGGCTCTCATAACAGAAGCAATACAAAGACAATGCCGTTCAGAAAGTGACCATGCTCTCATAACAGAAGCAATGCATAGACAATGCCTTTAAGAGATAGGCCATGCTCTCATAACAGAAGCAATGCATAGACAATGCCTTTGAGAGAGTGACCATGCTCTCATAACAGAAGGCCTACATAAACAATGCCTTTGAGAGAGTGGCCAGGCTCTCATACCAGAAGCAATACATAGCCAATGCCTTTGAGCTGGTGGCCAGGCTGTCATAACAGAAGCAATGCGTAGACAATGCCGTTCAGAGATTGGCCATGCTCTCATAACAGAAGCAATGCATAGACAATGCCTTTGAGAGAGTGGCCATGCTCTCATAACAGAAAGGAATACATAGACAATGTCTTTCAGAGAGTGACCATGCTCTCATAACAGAAGGCCTACATATACAATGCCGTTCTTTGAGAGAGTGGCCAGGCTCTCATAACAGAAGCAATACGTACAAAATGCCTTTCAGAGAGTGACCATGCTGTCATAACAGAAGCAATGCATAGACAATGCCTTTGAGTGAGCGGCCAGGCTCTGATAACAGAAGCAATACATAGACAATGCCTTTCAGAGAGTGACCAGGCTCTCATAACAGAAGGAACACATAGACAATGCCTTTCAGAGTGGCCAGGCTCTCATAACAAAAAGCAATATATAGACAATGCCTTTGAGAGAGTGGCCAGGCTCTCATAACAGAAGCAACACATAGACGATGCCTTTCAGAGAGTGGCCAGGCTCTCATAACAGAAGCAATACATAGACAATGCCTTTGAGAGAGTGGCCAGGCTCTCATAACAGAAGCAATACATAGACAATGCCTTTCAGAGAGTAGCCAGGCTCTCATAACAGAAGCAATACATAGACAATGCCTTTCAGAGAGTGACCATGCTCTCATAACAGAAGGAATACATAGACAATGCCTTTGAGAGAGTAGCCAGGCTCTCATAACAGAAGCAATACATAGAAAATGCCTTTGAGAGAGTAGCCAGGCTCTCATAACTGAAACAACACATAGACAATGCCTTTCAGAGAGTGGCCAGGCTCTCATAACAGAAGCAATACATACACAGTGCCTTTGAGAGAGTGGCCAGGCTCTCATAACAGAAGCAATACATAGAAAATGCCTTTGAGAGAGTAGCCAGGCTCTCATAACAGAAGCAATGCATAGACAATGCCTTTGAGAGAGTGTAGAAGCAATACATAGGCACTGCCTTTCAGAGAGTGGTCAGGTGTGTAACAGTAAATTGTAAAGAACCAGTTCGAGTACTCTTTGGGTGGTGTATCATCAGGGATTCGGACCAGGAGTCTTGACATATTTTTTGTGAATAATTCATCATCTTTGGCTTGAAATTTCATTTAACTAGTATTTGTTTTACACAGCACTTTTTAACAATATAGTTGTATATAATTTCTCAACCCAAGCAATAATCCAACACATGTTAAACACAATGTCACACTATCAGTCTTGCCCTCTACCAAATCCACAGCCTATTAATTATGGTTTAATTACGATGACGTCACGCTATAATTCTTGCAGTTGAGCATTTCAGAATCAAGACTTCACTAACCATTCTGGGGCAAATTTGATGAAAGTGAAAGTGACACTGCGTCTAAGGTATTATGCAAACGTATGGACATATAAGTCAACTATAGCATGGTTTAACCCCGAATCTGTTGATTTGCTTTCAAATTTTTATTGAAATCAATTTCAGAATTACATGAGAATTTCAGTGTAACCCATTTTGTAATCTTGTACATCTCCCTTCTTTCCCAGATCCCACGAAGTCACAGATACTGATGGAAACATATGAACTTTTAGTGATATCTCTGGTCACAATAACGACAGCTGAAGGTAAGTCGTTGTAGGAGAAACTCTGCTTTGTTTTATATTCACTTTGATGACAATTGTCCTTTTCTGCTAAATAGTAATGGACAGAGGTTCTGCAAGACAGAGGTAGGTAGGTGGTTCGAACCGCGTCAAACCAACAGCCGTTGAAGATTGAACTTGTTTTTAACATTAAAGTATGTAAAAGAAGTGGTCGGCTCGGAATGTTTGAATGGAGTATCCCTAGGAAAATGCGGCAGGGTATCGTAGTAACACTATAAAACCGGCAGATTTCGACACTGGTACAAGCTGTACACGACCACATGTACCTCAAACCGCGTTTGTATTTATTGTATAAGAAAATAATTATACGGTCATAGCGCAAGACATTTTCCCTATTAATCCATTGGTTATTTCATGTAGGTCTATATATAATATTATGAATATACATGTTGATCGAATTTTCGAATTGTGCTATTTTTATTAGTACAACAGATAGATGTACACCGCACCACATTATCTATTTCACATTCACTGCGCTGACTCAGACATTTCATACTTTAGTTGTCAACTGCTACATATTTAGTTATAAGTGTGCTTAGCTTTTGTTTTCTCTGAAGTATTATGTCTGATTTTACTTTGTGACAGCATGCTGTATAATGAAGTGCAACAAAGACTGAGTTGTTATCTCACTGAAAGCCAAAATTTTATATTAACAATATACCAAATTATCATTGATGTCTGTGTACATGGGACAATGTATGATCGATTACAGGTATAGAGCTTTCTAAAGGAATACCTTTGAGTTACATATTTAATTTTACACAAACTTATATATTTCACAGCATGTACCTTGCCTTACTTTGAAATGTATCATATTTTCAGGTCTGGAAAGTAAATGTACTCAATCATTTTTTTCATCCCACAGATCACGAACTGCACACAATTTTCACTTATTTTATACAGCATCGTCGCCAACGTACAACCTCACATCAACACCAGCTACAGCGTACAACCTCACGTCAACACCAGTTATAACGTACAACATCACGTCAACACCAGCTACAGCGTACAACATCACGTCAACACCAGTTATAACGTACTTCCTCACATCAACACCAGCTACAGAAGGACAGCCATGTATTCTGTCTTGTACACATGGGTTAGGTCGTACTATAAGCACTGCCTTGTGGTATAGGAACTGGGTTCGGATATTCCAGACAAACTGGAGATACCAGTTTGAGATGCTTGACAAGGACGTAGATCATGAGGAGTTCCGGTCCGTGTCAGGACGGATCTCTGTTGATGCCACCCTGAACCGCCACAACGTGATTCTCACCATCAACTCTACTGTGGATGAGGAGTCTGTGTGGACGTGTGGTGTTGGGGTGGACACCAGTAATAACCTGACAGTAAGGATGATGGCGACAGTCACTGGTAAGCCATACACTCTGTGTAAAGTGTTTCTTGATGAAGACTCAACACACATGTCAACAAGTTACTCATACCCTCTCATGTACGGTAGTATTCCACGTAACCTTAAACTGAACTTGCTGTACCAGGCTAAAGATTGTATGTAACCAAGGCTTTAGATTGTATGTAACCAAGGCTTAAGATGATATGTAACCAAGGCTTATGATTGTATGTAACCAAGGTTTAACATTATATGTAACCAAGGTTTAAGATTGCATGTAACCAAGGCTTAAGGTTATATGTAACCAAGGCTTAAGATTGTACGTAACCAAGCGTTTAGATTGAATGTAACCAAGGCTGAATATTGCATGCATTCAAGGCTTAAGACTGTATGAAATCAGGACTTAAGATTCTATGTAACTAATGCTTAAGATTGTATGTAAACAAGGCTTATGATTGTATGAAACCAGGGCTTCAGATAGTATGTAAGCACTAAGCGTAAGATTGAATATAACCAAGTCTTAGGATTGTAAGCAAGGGTTAAGATTGTATGTAACCAAGGCTTGAGATTGTAACCAAGGCTTATGATTACATGAAACTAAGGCGTAAGATTATATGCAACCCTGGCTTAAGATTACATAAAGCAAACTGTTTTTTTGCCACGGACGTTATAGTTTGTCTAATATGGACGGCCAAGTCCTGCTCAAGTGTGCAGATCCCGGCATTACTGCAATGATTGTGAAATATTAGTAGTTGAATAGTCCCGTGTAAAGGATGCTAAACAAACAGCTCTGCACGAAATTGTACTTGTTTAAATTATATACGGACACATTAGCATCTTGATGCACAGATAAATAGAGAATCTCACCCAAGTGTCTACTAATATCAATTATATCAACACGAGTTGATAAAGTTACAAATTTGTAACTTTATCAACGAGTGTTGATATGATTGATATCAGTAGACACGAGGATGAGATTCTATTTATCATCAAAAATCATTCTTCATTACTTTTCAATGAAAAATGTACATCTCTCAACACTGTACTACCATTAGACTTGCAGTGCAGTGATGTCATAGCATTGTGACGTCATCAAGTTGATGACGTCATAGCATTGTCAGGGCATTGTACAAAATCTACTGTCAAAACGATATCTCCTAGGAGATATCATATGGTCCCACACAAGCGATATCTCCTGTGGAGCACAGTTTTGGATGATAATACTGGCTATGGGTATTGAAAAGGTGATGGTCAGATTAGATACTGGACGTACTATAATACGTACAAATCTTAGTCGATATGAAACATGTATTGTGGCTATCGTGACGCTGGTCATACAGAAAACACGTGTTTTATTCCTTTGAAGGGTATAATGTGTTCATTCCAATTCTGGTGTCCCTAGACGTGATGTTGCAAGAATAGTGTTAAAAGTTGCTTGAAACCATACCCATTCACTCTCTGTTAAACGTGCTCGCAACACAACTGGCACAGGTTTATGGCATAGACAACACCCAACACCTATCCATATAAAAATTACATCTCTACACAAAATGTGTATAGATATCATTAAAAATCATGAAATACTTCGTGACTACTAGATCCTCATGAACAAGAAGTACATGACTTACATAAACACATAAACACGACGGGAAATAGAAAGAAATCCTTGTCACATGTTGCCGTCGGATGTATTTCAGGTGCTAATGTTTTCCTCAGTTTATACCTGGGTGTGTCCTAAGTCTGATCTTCGTGTGAGTAATGGGGTGGAGGGAAACGTTCAACATGTTATTAGCACTGAAACTGGAGAGATTGTCACTAGAGATATACATTTAGTACGGAAGTCGAACAGGAAATGATGTGAAACACGTGCCAGACGGCAAGTCTGTTTTGCCATAACTATATGGATATGTCGTGGTAGTAGAGGGTAGAGGGGTATATATTTCCGGGCAATACTGATGACTGATTTATGCTGTTCTGTCGTGGTAGTAGAGGGTAGTGGGGTATATATTTCCGGGCAATACTGATGACTGATATATGTTGTTCTGTATAGTTTTGTGTATGCTGGGTGGGTAACGAGTGCTCCATCTGTGCCACTCACGTTTTCTGACTAATTCTTCAACACACCTAACATGCCCCCTCCCGTATTCAGCAGTCATCATGCTGACATATTGTTTAAATATGTCATTTTATTGTGTTGTTGGTAATCATTTCAGCTGAATCCACCACAACAACTACAGCATCCCCAGCAACGCTGACTGCATCAGAACAGTGTGATTGCAGTGACTCCTCATGTAGTAAGATCAATTATTTGGTTTCGAATTCTTACCAGAATCAGCGATACCAATATTGAAATACAGACATCAGGTATCAATATTCATATTCATTCAAGTTTTAGACTGTGTCCGAGGCAGATAACGTGACGTCGTTTTATGGCGTCATTATATTGAGCACATATGGTGGGTTGGATGGTATGTAGTTTAACGCCGCATTCAGAATTATTCCAGCTAGTTGGCGGTGGTCTGTAGTCCAGTGGTCAACAGCATGAACGTCGGTCTACGTAAATGGGCTAGCCTGATCACCAGATCCCGTTAATCGCCCCTTTCGTCCAAGTTACGACAAGCATAGGTTATTGAAGAACTATGTTAACCCGGATCTTATAACCACGGGTTACATTAAGTATTGTGAAAATATTTCTCTGTGACATTTCGGCATTTACTTGATGAAAATTTATCAATTTCAGCTTCTTGTATATTCATATTATGTAAACTTATAAGTGACCGTGCCGCTTACAGAAAGTCTATCTCCGTATGAAATTAGATCTGAAATACAATGAGGAGGTATTTCTGTGTGGCTTCTGGAACATGGAGACACATGAGTTCAAGTGGGTCTTGTTTCAGATTCAGTCCTCGCCCCTGTGGCTGCTGGTGTTGGAGCAGCACTTATGATTGCTGTTGCTGTTAACGTCCTCATCTGGTACCGGGTGATTGGATCGCGAACACAGAAAACCAAAGGTAATCGTTATATTGGCATGACAGAGGTGAATACTATCAAAGAACAGGTGGTCTTGAGTAGTACATGTATACAAGATCACACGCAATGATAATTATGTAGTCTGTGTTTGGTTTTTTGTTTGTATGATGTTGTTTAATATCGCTCTTAGCAATAGTCCAGCTATATCGCGGCAGTCTGTAAATAGTCGAGTCTAGACCAGATAATTCGATGATGAACAACATGAGCATCCATCTACGCAATTGGGAACCGATGACATGTGTCAACCAAGTCAGCGAGCCTGACCACCCGATCCCGTTAGTCGCCTCTTAAGACAAGCATGGGTTGTGAAGACCAATTCTAACCCGGATCTTCACGGGTTGCAAGTAAGCTGTAGACAGGTGTATATATATAGAGAGTATACACATATTGAATATACAAGTGTGGAGTATGCAAGTAAGGTGTATACAAGTATAGAGTATACAAATATAGAATATACAAGTATAGCGTATGCAAGTAAATTGTATACAAATCAAGAACTTATATTTAGTGTATATGTAGAACAAAGCTGTATCAACACTCCATTCTTACATCTGTCTGTCTACTTTGAGTCCGGATGTCTTCCACGATGGCTCTTTAGACAATACATTTTCACAGGGTAGATTACTGTGACCTTGAAAATTGACTTGTCGTACTTCGGTATAAGTGAAAATTGTTTTCGACAATTCGACAATGCGCCAAAATGATGTATTGTCGCAATCTTGTCATTTAGACTCATTTAGAAACACAGCCGTATATCCATAGGTATATTTCGACTGCGTGAAAACTGTCATTGAGAAACACCCGTATCCCAGGTGTATTGGAGGTATATTTCGAGTGTGTGAGGTTAGTGTGATTCTGAAGCACATTCTTTCCCACGACGCCATGATGTACTTCCAGATGTAGACCCCAACATAGAAGAAAACAACGCCTACTGCTTGACGCCCTATGGCGGTCACCACCACAGCGGCGACTACACCGACATCGCCATCATCAGACCAGTGTCCTTCATTGAACCGATGTACAGTGGCGCCATGGAGATGGATACTGAACTCTACATCAACGCTGTCGACGGCGAAACCATCTACGAGGACGCCACTTTCACCAGGACGGATCCCGATATTTCCGATGCCATTGCAATGTGATGAGTTCGATTCCCTATCTGTCACTGAACACATACATCTGCAGATACCATACGTGAAAAACACCACACAAAATGTTAGTGTTTTGCAAATATTGTGCATTGATATAGTTTTATGGAACTTCAATCGTTATTCCCGAAATATCATCGCTGGAAAGATGGCTATATTGTACAGCTATGGTAACCCGACATCTTTGGACAGACATCTTTGGCATAGGTATCAGTTTAGCTTTGAGCAGAACTGTTGGCATACCACTGCATTGACGGTTAACCTTCGGGATGGTGGAAGGGACGTCGGGATATGCCATAGTGTAATTATTACTGATGCACGAGGGAGTGAGTAAGAGAGTGAATTTAGCAATATTCCAGCTATATGGCGACGGTCTGTAAATAATCGGGTCTGGACCAGACAATCCAGAGATCAAGAGCATGAGCATCGATCTACGCAAATGGGATACAATGACATGTGTCCACCAAGTCAGCGAGCCTGACCACCCGATCCCGTTAGTCGCCTCTTACAAGCATGGGTTACTGAAGCCAATTCTAACCCGGATCTTCACGAGTCCGATGCATGGACGTGTTCTTACATTTATGAAATGTTAAACTTCGTTTTAAATTTTGTTGTAAATCCAGCCTGCGTTAACCTTACAGCGTTATGGTGGCTGTGGTAAGGACTTTGCAGAAGCTTTCTTGAGAATATCTGATTACCGCACGTTTTCATTTTGTGTTTATTTTTTGTTATATTCGTCCACTCAAAACACATTAACACAATAAAGAAAAAGATTGTTGGGTACCTTTGTGTTTGTTTTGTTTCTTTTTTAAGTTTTTGCTTTGTATTCCCTTTCTTGTTTATGTTTTTAAAATATAAATTAGTTACACCAAGTCAGCAGTGTCAATCTGGGATCTAAATCAACAATCACCGTATACTGGCACATCAAAGAGGAAATAACTCTGACCTGCTGGAAACTGAAAGTAGGTAAAGAGTCAAACTGGTGTCGACATAATGGTATCATATTCATCTTTAATTCATCTTGTATGGGATTTGCGATGTAGTTCGAGCAAACGACAGCCCCACCTTATGGGGCAGTCACAAAATTGGGGAGAGGTCAATAGTGTTGTATGCCCCCCCAAGGAGTGAGTGAGTGAGTGAGTTTAGTTTTACACCGTACTCAGCAGTATTCCACCTATACGGTGGCGGTCTGTAAATAATCGAGTCTGGACCAGACAATCTAGTGATCAACAGCATGAGCATCGATGTGCGCAATTGGGAACCGATGACATGTGTCAACCAAGCCAGTGAGCCTGACCACCCGATCCCGTTAGTCGCCTCTTACGACAAGCATGGGTTACCGAAGGTACATTCTAACCCGGATCTTCACGGGTTGCCCCCCAGGGAGCTGAGATTGATAATTCAATGTGCCGTTTGAGATTGTGATCCAATGATTAAGGGGAAAACAAAGCGCCTTTGAGCAGCTAAGCTGAGCTGGATATTGGCGCTATACAAAATAAATAAATAAATAAATAAATAAATAAATAAATAAATAAATAAATAAATAAATAAATAAATAAATAAATAAATAAATAAATAAATAAATAAATAAATAAATAAATAAATAAATAAATAAATAAATAAATAAATAAATAAATAAATAAATAAATATGTATTCCATATTCTTAGGGATAGTGATAGTAGACACTCTGTAGTGGCATTAACCACCACATGTACTTAACATCAAGTCGCATCTGCTAAACATAACACCGTATTATGGATATTCTAACTCCTAAGACCAAGTTTGTTTTCTCGAATATCGCAATAACAATTGCAAACATGTCCTTAACGTGAATTTGTTTCAACTTAAACAGAAGCTTTACAATGTCTGTATGACGCACAAGTGGTAAACATGTGCACGCACGAACGCACGCACGCACACGTGCCACACACACACACACACACACACACACACACACACACACACACACACACACAAGAATACAAAAGAACATAACACAAACAGAAACATATATACCTGCAGGTGATTGTAGCTGCATAGAACACGGGATTGATAATGCACATTAACCTTACACCATAATCAGAGCTATGATCACTTCAGGTTTCCCTCCCACGTGAATTTAACATATATGGAATACTTTCCACGAGAGGTTACTCAACCTTGTGTACCGGATGTAGCTAAAACCTGAAACATGATATTAAGCACAAAATATGAAGATCCCAGATTTCATTCCTGCTGTAGAGAGACACCTTTCTTCCCATGTGTGACTTTGAAAATGTTTGCAGTTAGCAGGAAGCCAAAATGTCATCCGTTGAAACTAAACTGTATGCTATCTCTGTGGTGGAACGGTGGAGGAGATGGTTCCAATGTAAAGCACGTTTCGGCATCAGGCATCATAAATGTTATTGAGATCTAAGGAGCCAGGAACCTGAATCATTGAAGGAGTGCCTGTATATGCGTATAGGGAGAACACTATCACAGTGTACTAACTGTACTACAAAAACAAGTATGGGAACACCCAAAAATTTGACTTAAATTTGCCACAAGCTGCAACCGTTGCCACAAGCTGCATGGAATTTGGGTCTTTCACATGCAAAAGGCTGTTGTGTTTGGACCTTTGAATCAAACATGGTGCTGGTGTGTTTCATCACCTTGTTTTTCGCTGTTTTTGACAATGTTTCATTTCACTCAAATTCAACGAATATTGAATCTGTTGCTTCACTGTATGTTCCAACATGTCGGTTAAAGTGCCCATTAAGCACACAATAAGTTGATTTACCTTAGGCTATAAACCTCGCCACGTTTAGGTTTATATATGACTATCAAATTTTAGGCTGTTGCCATACTTTTTGTTTGTAGTATATTTGGTGTAAGGAGTACTCGAGCATGAGAAGAAGATCTCCATGGGTGGAACGCATCACAAACATCAACTATCAACTATCAACCATCAACCATCAACGCCCGAACAGCCCGCCTCTGAGACAGATCCATTCAGTATTAAAGGCGAAGTAACGGTGAAAGTAATGTGAATGGTACAATGGAAATTAAATGATGTTCCCATCGGTATAACCTTTCACACACACAGCATGAATAAGACAGTAAGGTTTTAACTGTCTGACACAATACTTTTACCATGGGACGGTCATATCGATACAAACCAGGCAATTGACCATAAATTCTTATGACACGCTAGGCAGTGTATTAACTAAACACACAACTACACGCTGGTTTTGAATCTACTGCCTACAAGGACACATATCTTGAACGCAAAAGACATACACAATATGTTCATTTTGCAACACTAACGGAATCAGTTTTATAACATCGCGGCCAAACCAAGGCCCACTGTTCGACTTTGTCTGCCAAGAGAAGTCTCTTTCGTCCCTTTGCAGATGACATTGTTCATTACATACCCCGAATCACTATCATCAGATTCAAAAGCATCATTGCCATTTACCGGAATGTACCGCTAAATGTGTATATCAAACGTATATCAAACGTAATCTATAATAATCAACATCATAATGTATCGTTCAAATTTGACACAAAAAACAATCGAAAGTCAAAGTCATCCCCCACCCCATCCCCGTCACCTTTACTTCCTGAATATGAGCATTTTGAAACTTGATCACTGTTGCTGATAATATACCTCTCGATCAATGTTTACTATTACCACTACTCTACTGCATTGTACGATTTTGTATGAAACGTTTAGTTGTTTGTTTGTTGTTTTAAGTCACACACCACAATATTTCACCTATAAATACATTCCGTCTATGAATAATCGATCTGCGCACCATGTATGATTGCGACACCGATCAAAAAAAAGTGTCCCCTCACCACAAGCATGGTTTGCTGAAGACCAATTCTAACCCAGGTCATTTATAACTTCAAGTTCACATAATTCAACACATATATGTGTAATCTAAACATTCGGCAGTATTGAACCGAGTACTGATATTTGTAACGGACATAAACATGAAAACGACAACACCCGTGAATATCCAATTAGCATAAAATGTGGGGAGGAAATATTCAAACATATCAACGAGGAAAGTTTCAAGTTTACAATCAGTATGCATGATACTGCCAAAAACAAGGTTTTGTACACAGCTCAATTGTCCAGTTTACACTGGAGCAGATGAACAAGATAGGGTTCTACGCTGGAACGTGTTTGCTGTGGTATTACACGAGGTAAGCTGTATCTTTTTAACACATCACTCAGCAATAATGAAACTATGTCGGGGCAGTCTGTAAATATCAGGTCCATGTAAGATGCATGGCACGCAGTGAGCCTGTTTTGTCCGACACCTGACATAGAAGTTATACAGGGCAGTGATATTATGTCCATGTAAGATGGCACGCAGTGAGCCTGTTTTGTCCGACACCTGACACAGAAGTATACAGGGAGAATTCCAGTGATATTTTGATGTAAGATGGCACGCAGTGAGCCTGTTTTGTCCGACACCTGACATAGAAGTATACAGGGAGAATTCCAGTGATATATTTGATGTAAGATGGCACGCAGTGAGCCTGTTTTGTCCGACACCTGACATAGAAGTATACAGGGAGAATTCCAGTGATATTATGATGTAAGATGGCACGCAGTGAGCTTGTTTTGTCCGACACCTGACATAGAAGTATACAGAGATTCACAATATGTTTATTAAAGAAATCCCCAGCATCAGGTTATCAATTGTAATAACGTATAGTGTATTTGAATCTAATATGTTGTTGTTGTAACAACAGGTCTTGAGAATGGGCTGGGCTTCGGAGAGGTGTCACTGGATCTCTGTGATGTTTGTCTCCCTTGTGGTCTCGCAGGGTTTGTATAATATGTTACATGGCAGTAGATTAAATACACGTTTGAACGACGAGGTCTTCTAACCTATCATAACATGCACACAAGAAAGTTGCTTTTCATTTTGTCAATATCTGGTTTTGTTTTCTCTGAAGTATTATGTCTGATTTTACTTTGTGACAGCATGCTGTATAATGAAGTGCAACAAAGACTGAGTTGTTATCTCACTGAAAGCCAAAATTTTATATTAACAATATACAAAATTATCATTGATGTCTGTGTACATGGGACAATGTATGATCGATTACAGGTATAGTGCTTTATAAAGGAATACCTTTGAGTTACATATTTAATTTTACACAAACTTATATATTTCACAGCATATACCTTGCCTTACTTTGAAATGTATCATATTTTCAGGTCTGGAAAGTAAATGTACTCAATCATTTTTTTCATCCCACAGATCAAGAACTGCACACAATTTTCACTTATTTTATACAGCATCGTCGCCAACGTACAACCTCACATCAACACCAGCTACAGCGTACAACATCACGTCAACACCAGTTATAACGTACTTCCTCACATCAACACCAGCTACAGAAGGACAGCCATGTATTCTGTCTTGTACACATGGGTTAGGTCGTACTATAAGCACTGCCTTGTGGTATAGGAACTGGGTTCGGATATTCCAGACAAACTGGAGATACCAGTTTGAGATGCTTGACAAGGACGTAGATCATGAGGAGTTCCGGTCCGTGTCAGGACGGATCTCTGTTGATGCCACCCTGAACCGCCACAACGTGATTCTCACCATCAACTCTACTGTGGATGAGGAGTCTGTGTGGACGTGTGGTGTTGGGGTGGACACCAGTAATAACCTGACAGTAACAGTGCCTGAACCCACAACTGGTGAGACATTTACGTCCTATGACGCATCTCATTCTCCGGACTGAAGATAGCTACTCGTTCCCTCTTACTTAAACAAATATGCCAAATGGACATGTGTGTAAAACTGCAGTCTGTGTAGCATGCTTAATGTCAGAAATAAGCAAATGATTTGCTTAGACTTAAACATTTAAATTTAAAATGATATGAGCATTGATACTGCTGAGCCATGTAGCCTGACAGGGTGATTGAAACAGGTGTGGGTTTGTAATTAGTTGTGGGATGCCAAGTAAATGTCATTAAGATAGCAATGATAACACAAATCTGAATCTGAAACAAATCACGATTTCTAGAATGGCGATCGATGTTATTTGTGAATACAAAAGTCTTCTATGATTTACTTTAACGAGGTCACATCTATCAGTTTAGTTTGGGCAAGGTAAATGCCTACATACCCATTGAGAACAGGGTTGAATTTGGGTCTTTAAGAACCCATGCTTGTCGTAAGAGGCGACTAACGGGATCATGTGTCAGCCTCGCTGACTTTGGTTGACACATCTCATCGAATACCAGTTGCATAGATCTATGCTCAAGATGTAAGTCACAAGACTGCCTGGTCCAGCCCCGATTATTTGCAGCCTGCCGTCATAGAGCTTGAATATTGTTGAGTGAGGTGTTAAACAATAAATAAAATCCCAATGTTCACTCCCTTTTCAGTATAGTTACAAGATGTGTATATCGATACATTGTTCTTATTACGACATTCAATATGCTTCCTGTTACAGACGCGGGGACAACAGACACAGATAACAGGCCAGCTCCAGACGAAATGACTGAAGACAATGGTGGGTACTGTGACATTCAAATATTTAGAACAATTCACGTCAGGCAACCATGTGGACAGGCCAGTATATGAGCACTATGACAAGTATGTAATGATGATATAACAGACTATTAAAACGTATATTCCTGATCTTGATATTCAAGTTATTGCTCATGCCTTTGCTATATTTATATATATAAACATAAGTTATACTAAATCACTGGTATGTATTGCCGGATGTATTTCACTTGACCTGTGGAACCACAAATATGACCTATTGTGAATCAAAGCAAAGTATGTACGATGTTTGTATACCTTCTGTGAAATCTGAAGTTCCTTTTGAGGCGTGACAGTGGTAATCTGATCGTGGTTGCGGTGAGTATTGGCGAACTGGTGATATATTGGTGGAGCGTGGTCCTGTGCTCAAAGCTCAGGTCACAAATCGGTGAAGTTAAGCAGCGTCTGGCTCGGAGAGTCCTTGGATGGGTGACCCTGTTTGGCAGCTTGACTCCTGAGAGTTTCTAGGACTTGAGTCCTGCCCCACAACGAAGCACATGTGACACATGTGGTCGCACCTTAGGCAAGTGAGTTTGTTCAAAATTGTCCCTGTTCACCCAGCAGGAAAATGGGTACCCTGTGGAAAAAGTCATATGACTATAACCTTCTAGCGCCTAACAGGCAGCTTGGGTTATCCGGGGTAATAATGTGCTGTGCCTTGATTGTTAGCGCTATGAGTATACCTAGTGTGGAGTTTGGCGCTATATAAATGGACACATTATTATTATTATTATATTCTGATACGTTCACACACCGTTCCGACGTTTACATCGACTACTTTTAATAAAATAAATGGAAATGGTAAGAGTGAGTGAGTGAGTTAAAATTTATAGTCACATCGGCAATATTTCAGCCATATTGTGACATAAAAAGTTATAAATTAACAATAAACACAATTACATTATAAAACACCTGTCGACGAAGGACAGTAAAACAACTAGATGATCACAGGAATAAATTTAAGACTAGTAATTAAATCTAAAATAGTTTGCCTATAAATGACAATACAATATCAAAACCGGCTATAGATTGCCAACAACTGAAGGTAGACCACCATACTAGGGACCATGGGGACTTACAGTACATTTGCTTCCTGCATAGGCCCTAGCTGGATTTACATCATCCCTTCAGCTGTCAGCAATTTAGATACATCTGGCCATACATTAAAATTACACATATTCTACGAATAAAAAAATGGAAAGTTGGAAATGGTAAGAAGCCTAAGTTACTGTACAAATGTATATAATGAACACCCGTCACAAACTGATCGTGTAACAGCAGGATTAACTTGCTCATAATTAAAGACGGATCTGTGGACATGAAGTTTACACCGTTCTGTGCTTACGATAATTGTCTGTGCCCATCTTGCAGGGGAAGGGTGGGCTCTAGATACAAGAAACTATCTTACGCTGTTTTCAATGTGCTCTTTCAAAGATTGCCCGAAAAGCCTGCCTTCCTGGACCTCTTTCGTCTCATTGGCAATCCGATCTTCTTCTTGCTTAAGGGCGTCTTCGTGTCAGTCCACCTGCCTTCAGAGGACTTCTTGAATCTATTCTTCCTCCATGGTGTCTTCTTGGTAGACAATCTGTCTTCAGAGGACTTCTTGAATTTATTCTTCCTCCATGGTGTCTTCGCAGACAATATGTCTTCAGAGGACTTCTTGAATCTATTCTTCCTCCATGGTGTCTTCTTGTCAGTCCACCTGCCTTCAGAGGACGTTTGGGATATATTATTCCTTCACGGTGTCTTTTTGGCAGTGCAGCTGGCACCAGATGGCTTTGGGGATATATTCTTCCTCCATTGTGTCTTCTTGTGAGTCAGACTGTCTCCAGAGGACTTTCGGGATCTATTCTCCCTCCATGGTGTCTTTGAAGCCCACCTGTCTACAGACTGCAATGCCTTGAGATCAATTACGGGTTTGTTTGGTTCAGTGCATGTGTTTGGGACCAAGTATAAGGTTAACTATTTGCTCTAAACTATATGTTTTAGTTTGCAAAAGCACACACGTGTTACACATCATTTAAATAATGTGTTACAAACTTTTAAAAAATCCGCTGAACAGATGCGTATTAAATAATGACTTTATGACAACCATTGGCAGATCATACATTTATGTGCAATGTTATAATGAAAGATTCTTTATATTTGATAATTTAATTTTCATTATTAATATGCCACTAAATCTAGATCCAAATATATGCATGTATTTATTAGTATTTCAATATTTTCATAAAAATCTGGTAGGTATTTCTGTGGTTTCAATACAAATTCTCAGTGCCTAAATCATAACAGTTTGAATGAAGAAAAATATGTGCTATCTTCCCAATAATCGTTACCTAAAAACATTTTAGGGGGTATTTCATGAAGACAAGGTGCGATGGAGGGAGGTATTTGTTGTGTGCTGCGATCGGTTCCACTTTTAGTTTGCGCAGCATTCTATACGCTCTTGCAGAGTCGAGCTTAAGAAATTCGAACCTACACCATTGAAGAGTTCGATTTCAGTCTTTCAGCCGCGCTAAGATCGATTTTGTGCAGGTGGATTAAAGCAATTGGATGTTGATTGTAAAGTTGATTGTAGGGGCATAAGATTGATTGTAACAAAGATTGCTCTGTGCAAACGGAACCTGATTGAGTGGAATGCAACCTCTATGTAGGGTCTGTTTATGACAGTTTGGTTCAAAATAGTGTCGACCTTACAAAACTTATGTGCATTTCTGAACAATAACAAGATTTAATACACCATTGGCGTCATATGTATTTTCTTCCAATAGGCAGGTGTCACTGGCAAAATGTCAACACTGCCTAATATGGAAAACAAGGTGCGTTGATATCGCGGTTTGGTCGAGACAGTAAACAAGGTCTACGTCAGAGGCAAGGAAATAATACTTCCTGAGCAACAGTGGTAATTAACATGCTACATCATAAAATGTGCTAATCAAAACATTTAAGAGAACATGAGTGTTTTTTTCCTTGACTTTAACCAGTTCGATTGATCCCCAAAACGTGACATAAGGTTGGTGAGAAGCCAGGAATGTGAAAGATGATATTAACTTTCTTAAGAAGGCACTGATGAGATCGTAGTTATACGTTTTAATGGCAAGCCACAAAAGTAGGCAAAATGCAAATTTATTGAGAACAATTAAGATGTCTTAATAAGGCCTAAGATGGTGAAACCATGGGCAGTATTGTAATCTGCCTCAACGACGGCACATCACCATCGAGGAAATAGCAAGAGCTGTAAAATGGTTTAATGAGGAGGTGTCCATGAGATAAGCTGCAAACAGACATGACCTCATGTCATTCACAAACTGCACCACAGAATTCGGCAACTGAAACAATTCGTGACCGACCCAGGTCTTGGCGTCCAAGAGTGAGTGAGTGGGTGAGTGAGTGAGTTTAGTTTTACGCCGCACTCAGCAATATTCCAGCTTTATGGCAGCGGTCTGTAAATTGTCGAGTCTGGACCAGACAATCCAGTGATCAACATCATGAACATCGATCTACGCTATTGGGATACAATGACATGTGTCCACCAAGTCAGAGAGCCTGTCCACCCGATCCCGTTAGTCGCCTCTTTCGACAAGCATGGGTTACTGAAGATCGGTTCTTCACAGGTAATCATCCAAGAGACACAAGAAGTGTTGTCTGGAAGCATGTTGAGAACTGCAACTGGTACTACAGTGAGTGATCAGACGATCAGCAATCGTCCCCGTGAGCAACATATTCGTCCCAGACGTCAATCCGTAAGACCTGTCCTGCTTCCACGGACAGAGATGTTTGTGCACGACGTCATCATCAGTGGACAGGGATCAGTGTGCAGGATTCTAGCTTACAGACGTCGTGGTGACCGTTTTGCCAACGTCTACCCAAGGGAACGTTTTGGCTTCGGGAGTGTGATGGTGTGGAGCGGATTTTCATATAGACACAATGCGCATATGCATATGGTCAACGGCAGCCTCAATGCTGTTCGTTCGTGACACGGTAAACATTGAGGGGGAACCTCTCCCTCCAATAAAGGTGAATGAGTATAATGAGAGTGTCCAATGCTTCGGAGTACTACCTCATCTTGACAATTTAGATCAGTAAAGGCGTTACACGAATGGAATTGGAAATTCCATGTTGGCCACGGATAGGAGCAACCGCTGTTTTGCAAAACAACAATGCCATGCCTCTTCGTCTTCATGTCGCCATGGACTTCTAGAGGTAGAACAACATGACACAGATGGAATGGCCGGCACATTCACCTGACATCAAGCATCTCTGTCACCAACTTGGAAAGCAAGTCAGACAGAATCACCCACCACCACAACATTTGCAACAACTTGTTCAGTTCCTGATTCTTGAGTGGAAAGCCATTCCACAGAGTTAACTACAAACTTAAAACTGTCACAAATCGTGTAAAACTGTATTCTGACTAAACTGACTGACTGACTGACTGAATTTGGTTTTACACCGCTTTTAGCAATATTTCAGCAACATCACGGCGGGGGACACCAGAAATGGGCTTCACACATTGTACCCATGTGGGGATTCGAACCCGGGTCTTCGGCGTGACGAGCCAACGCTTTAACCACTAGGCTACCCCACCGCCCCTATTCTGACTAAACATCAACAGTGTCTAAATGGTTATCGCTGGATACGCTTTAATCAAACTGTGCTAAACAATATCGAACTAAGTGAAATATTTGTTGATCCCTCGCTTTGTTCTACTCCCTGGCGAGCGAGACAAATTCTGTCAGACCAGTTCTACCAAAAGTGGAGAGAAAACATTGAATCTAGCTATAAGGGCATTCTTTATAAACATTTAAAAAAATCAATACAATTTTAACAATACTTACTATTACCTAAGTCTGTCTCTATCCCTATTCTAAGATTCCGCACTTCAAAACATAACTTACCCATAGAGACTGGCCGGTGGCAGGGCATTGCGAGGGAAGATCGTTTATGTAAACTCTGCAAACAAAATGTAATGGGAGATGAGTTTCATTACATCTTTACACGTGAAGCTCTTTCCCAACCAGATTATTGTATATTCCCAAACTATATTATCAATGCCCAAATGTATATGTCTTTTGT